TTGGGTGTGATGGCGAACACCTGTAATCCCAGAAGCTCAGGAGGCTGAGGCAGGAAGATCATAAATTCAAAAACAGCCTTTGCTACTTAGTGAGACCTGAGAAATTTAGCAAGACCCTTTCTCTAAATATAAAATGAAAAGGGCTGGGGATATGGCTCAATAGTTAAGCAGCCCTGGTACCAAAAAAAAAAAAAAAAAAATCAGGTATGCTGGCACATGCCTGTAATCCCAGCAACTCAGGAGGCTGAGACAGGCCAGCCTCGCCAATTTACTGAGGCCCAAAGCAACTAAACAAAAATCTGTCTCAAAAAATAAAATGGGCTGGGGATGTGGATCAGTGGTGAATTGCTCCTGGGTTAAAACCCCAGTACCAAAATAATAATAGTAATAATAACACATGGCAAATAGAGCCTATCATGAGAATATAATTTTGGTTTAAGCATTTGAAAATTATTCTATGTATTCAGGAGGCTGAGGTAGGAGGATCACAAGTTTGAGGCCAGCCTGGACAATGTAGTAAGACTCTGTCTCAAAATGAAAATTAAATAAAAGGGCTGGAGATGTTGCTTAGTGGTAGAGTGCTTGCCTAGCATGTGCAAGCCCCAGGGTTCAATCCACAGTACTGCAAAGTATTCAATGTAATTCAGCATATTAGCAAATTTAAAAAAAGAAAAACTGTATGATGTATTCACTGGATATGGAGTAAGCATTTGACAAAATACAACATCCATTCCTAGTTAAACTAACCAAAAAAAAAAAAAAACAGAAAAAAGATGGCAACTTCTTTATTGTGATAATGTATATCTATTACAAACCTACAAGTAACTTCATACATAAGAGTGAAACCTGAGTGTTTTCCTCCTAAAATCAGGAACAAGTAAAAGGTGTCCATTTTTACACCTTCTATTCAACATTCTACTGGAAGTGATAGCCAGGAAAATTAAGCAAGGATCAGAAATAAATAGTATGCAGACAGACTGGGAAGAAAGAAATAACTGCTTTATTCACAAGTGACATCATTATTGATGTAGAAAATTCAGTAAAGGAATCTACAGGACATCTAGTTTAGCAGGTTTCAGGATATTGTATAGTATCAATTATATTTATACGTATTAGCAATGAGTGATTTAAAATTAAAATTGTAAAAAAATACAAATTTCATAGCATCAAAATGTGGAATACTTAGGAATAAATGTGACAAAGATATGAAACAACTATGCCCTGAAAACTACAAAACATTGCTGAAAGAAAATGAAGACCAAAATAAATGGATAGCGAAAGTGAGATCTTATCTGTGTGTCAAAAGACTCAGTATTGGTGAGATGTTGATTTTCCCAAATTAATCTGTATATTCAATTCAATCCTATCAAAAGTCTCAAAATTCTTTTTCTAGAAACTAACAAGTGATTCTAAAATTCACATGGTTATGCAAATAACCTAGACTAGTCAACACAACACTGAAAACGACAAAGTTGGAGAACTTATACTGTCTGATTTCAAAGACTATTATAAAATCACACTTATTGAAACAGTATGGTATTGGTGTAAAAATAGAAAAATACATCAGTGGAACTGCATACAGTTCCAAAATAAATCCACACATTTATGGACAACTGGTCTTCGACAAAGTTGCAAAGTGATGCATGCAAAGGAGAAAGACAGCCTTTTCAACAAATGGTGCTGGAATAATGAGATATGCACACACTCAAAAACAAACTTTGATCTCTACCTTGTACCATATACAAAAACTGACTCAAGATGGATCAAACTTAAATATACAACCTAAAACTGTAAAGCTTCTGAAAGCAAAAAACATCTTTGTGACCTTAGGTTAGACAAAGATTTTGTACATGACACCAAAAGCATAATCCATAAAGACAAAATTAATAAATTTAACTTTATCAAAATTTAGAATTTCTGTTCTTCAAAAACTACTGCTAAAAAAATGAAAATGCAAGACTCAGAAAGAAGGCACCATTTTCCAAGCAGAGGGCAGGCTTCACCAGACATCAAATCTGCTGTGCCCTTGACCTTAGACTTCCCAGCCTCCAAAATTGTGAGAAATAAATTTCTGTTCTTTGTAAATCATCCAATGACTCACTCTGTTTGGGCTGCTACCACAAAATACCAGAGATTAGGTAATTTACAAAAAAAAAACCCTGATTTATTTTCTCAGAGTTCTGGAGCCTGGAATGTCCAAGATTAGGCACCTGCCTTTGGTGTCTCATAAATAACTTCTTACTGATCCTCCTGAATTTTGGAGGGAACATATTGAAATGGAAGCACTTCCTCAGTTTCAGGCATTTAGGTACAGCAACACAAGTGGACTAAGCAAATTTTGTTGAGTGAAAAGAACCAAAAGAACACTTATTCTATACAAGTGTAGAAAACACAAACTATCCTATAGTGACAGGAAGCAGACCTGTAGTTGCCAGAGATGGAGGAGGAGGGGAAAGATTACCAGTAGCTAAAGAAACTTTGAGGGATAGATACATTTATTGCCTTGATTGTGATGATAATTTCATAGTTTTGGGGGGTGGCTTATCCAATTAAATAGTTTAAATATGCACAAATTACTATATACCAAATAAACCTTCATAGATCTGGTTTTGAAAAAAGAAAATACCTACAAAAAAAGATAACCATATAACACTGGGCAGATGAACTGAACACCTACTTTACAAAAGGAGTTACAGAAATGGCCAGTTAGAATATAAAAATATACTCAATATGATTAGTCATCAGGGAAATGATAATTGAAACAGCAGTGAGATGCCACTCCACACACTTGAGTGGATAAAAATAAAAGCTGGCAACTCCAATGTTGCTGAGAATGGGAAAGGAAAGGAACTGTCATGTCTTTCTGGTGAGAATGTAAATTGCACACTAGTTTGAAAAACATTCTGGAAGTTTCTAATGAAACAACTATCCTATGACATGACAATTCCCCTCCCAGGTATTTACCCAAGAAAAATGAAACCATATATTCATCTAGTGGCTTTTTTTTAACAGCCCAAACTGGAAACAGTCCAGATCATAAACAGGTGAATGAATAAACCAAGTCTGATATACTATATGATGGAAAATTACTCAGCAATAAAAATAAAGGAGCACAAACAGATTCAATAAATCTCAAAAACATAGCAAATGAAAGTATTCAGGCACAAAATAGTTATATATATATATATATATAAAATCCCATTCATATGGCATAGTAATTGCTTGAGAAGGCAAAAGTAATCCATAGTGGGAAAGATTAGAACAGTAGTTGTCTCTGTGGGATTGTGGTGGGGATTGACAAGAGAAGGGCACAAGGGTGATTTGGGGGTTGATAATGCACTGCATCTTGACAGGGGTTTTGAGTATGCATTTGTCAAAACTCACCATACAGGGCACTTAAAATTTATTCAGAAACTGAATGTAACTTTTACATCCTAAAAAATAAATAGAACAGTAAACAAACATTGATCTGTAGTTAATACTATACATGCTAATGGGTTTAGAGGTGCAGTGTACTGTGTTTGCAACTTGATTTGAAATGCATTAGTAAAATGAGCACAGCCATACAATCAAGCAAATACAACATAATGCTATTTGTAGAATATTACTGATTGGTACATGGGTACAATTTTTTCAGTTGTTCTGTAAATTGCAAAGCTCTCACAATAAAATGTGGAAAGGAAATAAGAAAATATTATCATCTAGTGGATAAAATTGTTATAAGAATATTTAGGAAGTAGGTCATAATCATTATTGCTAATAATGTATTGAATGCTTATTGATAAAAAATGAAGAAAAAAGTTAGAATTAATTCCTTATAGGGCTTGACCTCTCCAGCACCTCTCTTTTTTCCATTGGTTCACTGAACTCCTGCTGTGTTTTTCTTTTTGGTCCTAAATATGCCAAAGTTGTTCCTGTCACAAGGCATTTGCACTTGCTGTTCCTTTACCCTGAGGATGGTCTAGCCCCTTCCCCACACACATACACCTGTCACTCTGATATATCACCCTGATTGATGGTCTGCAAAGTTTTCTCATCACTTCTCAAATGTTTTTGTTGCTCCTTGTTTATTCCTGGCTTCTTCAAGAAAGCGGTAACCTGTGTCTCCAGGGCTTAGCATGGGGCCAGACAATAATGTCATTGTAGAATTCTGTGGACTGGTAAAAAAAAAAAAATCATCTGGAACTGGCTGTCTTCTGCTTGTAGGTCCCTTGACTTGATTCAAGGACCCTTTGTTTTTTGTTTTTTTTCCTTCATAGTATGAGCCTAGGGTGCTAAATGTGTGCCCCCCTTAGAACAGGGATGAGGGCTATCTGGTTTTGCTCATAGCAGTATTCTTAATGTCTGATACAGCAGAGGCTCACAACCTGACTTTATGAATCTTTGAACTCGACAGTGAGGTTTGCCTTTCCTTCACTTCGTTTGGTCTTTGACACTTTACCAGGCCCATTACCACCCTGAAGACTCCCAGGAGGGAGCGGTCCTTTCCATTCCTTCATTCTCTCCTTTGTCTGCTGGTCGATTTGTTTGTTCGTTCGTTCATTCACTCATTCGTGCGTCCATTCCACTCCTCCGTCCTCCACACCTAGATATCCAGTCCACGCGCGCGCTGCTACTCCCTGATCTCGCGGCCCCACCTCCCTGCCTCGCTCCACCTCTGCCCCACCCTCCTCCTCCCCGCCCCCTTTCCAGGCCAATCGGAGCTGACAGGCTGGGCGGGGCAAGGACTGGGGAGGGACCTCGCTACCCCAGTACCCCCGGCTGCGCCCCCGGCTCCGGAAACGCACCGCGGGGCTGCTGGGCTCGACTAGGCGCGGGTGGCTCCGTGGCGCTTCCTGCCACGCCAGGCCTGCCTGGGCCGCGCCAGCTCCACTCTGCTGAGGGCTGTGTATCGGTCGCCGCCAGGCCTGGGTGAGCGTGCGGGCCGCTGAAGAGTGTGTGGGATCTAGGTGATCGTGCGAGCGGCGGGAAGGACGTGCTAGCCCGACTGATCACGAAGGAGGCGATAGGATGTGCGGGCCTGAGTGAGCACACCGGATCGAGGTAGGAAGTACTGGGGGGGCGAAGTGAATGTGCCAGTGGTGGGAGCGTATGCGGGGGAAGGGGCGTCTCAGTGTATGGAGAACTGCTCGGCCTTGGTACGGGCCAGGGGCCAAGGGGGATGGGTCCCAGATGGCGGGTACGACGAGGCCCGAAGGCCTTCCAGCTGCGGGTGGGGGACGGCGGTAAGGGCGGGAATTGCTGATGTGCAAAGGCCTACCTACGTTGCCTGTGGAAGATGCTAATGGGTAGGAACTGGTCAGGGGATGAGAAAGGGTGCCCAACCCGTAACCCCAAGCGCAATGGAGGCGATGTGGTAGGAAGCGTTGGGGGGAGGGTCTTAAAGGGCTTTCCCCCAATATGCAGTTGGGGTTCAGCCACAATCTAGAGCGCTAGGGATGGTTTCTGCTGGGGGGGGGGGTCGGTCCTTCCCATTTGGGTGTGGGTCAAGTCTCAGCTTGGTGGGGAGAATGGGGCACTTCTGTTGTCTAAGGCATGAGAGCTGGAGGGAAGGAAATGGAGGAAACGGGCAGCCCTTACAGGGTAAAGCGATCTCAAGACCCTATGTCTGAACAGGGCTTTGGGGGACCACCATCTCACACCTCACCCCACTACCTCTTCCTCCTAAACTCCTTTGCTGGTTCCTCCACTCTAAATTTTGGTGATTAATTACATGTCCTTTTACACACTCAACTGCTGCCCAAAGCCCATGGTACCTTTCAAACACCCCCAATTCCTGGCCCTCTTCCCAGAGGTCCCACCCTGTTCCAACTGACATCCTTCAGCCAGCCTTGGCTTAGCCCAGCTGGCGTCCCCCTCTAGTCTCCTTGGTTAGTGAAACATTTCAACCTTAGCCCCAACATTTTCCTTTATGATTTCAGATGAGATCTCTGGAATAGTGACTCCACTAGGTACTCAACCCTTCTGCCATTGGACCTTTCCATAGAAGCAACTTGCATAGTGTCTGTTTAGTCCAGTGAATTTCCCTCAAAATATTCCTGGAGAGACCCCTTGGAAAATCTTCTTGAAAGTGAATTCTCTTCCCAGAAATCTGACCATTGCCACAGACTCAGTGGGCTTCAGCCTCAGGAGGCTCCTGGGCAGGAGCACTGTATCATATGAGCCTGAGGTAAGGGAGCCTCTAGATTCTAGACAAGCCCAGTGTCCACATCAGAGTCTTTGAAGTGCTTGTTGAGAATGCATATTTCTTGGCCCACCAGACCTGCTGCTCTGCTACTTCAGTTTTCATTAAACTCCAAACCAGGTTTCTAATGCAGTGATCCAGCTCTTCCAAACCTGCCTGGTCTCCTGGATGGCCCAGGGATCCTTGGGATTTGCATAGCATCCCACTGCACCCCCAATTTAAAATTGTTTATATCTAGACAGTGTAACCTCAGTGAGGCTATACTTACAATTTATTTTGATTTTTAGTAAGATACCATGCATCTTCTTGGGGAAATGGGAACATAAACCTTTCCTCAATTAAGTACAACAAACACTAAAAAATCCCCTTCTGGACTACCTTCTGGCTTTTTATAGAAGGGAAAGAAGATGGAAACCTAAACAGAGAGAGACAGGTGCCCAGGCAAAATGAGAGAGGAAACAGATGCCTTTCCACCCACACACACAGAAAAAGACACACACAGACACAAATATCCCAAAAGAAACAGACTTTCCTGGTGAGACACCCGCTTTTGGCCCTTTAGGATCCTGCTACTTCAAGTAGCAGTGGCTTGCAGTCTACTGGATGGGCCCAAATGGGGCCTTCACATATACTTTTCAGCCTGCCACGTTAGAGGAACATTAAGGCCAGGACGGGCTGCTGCCCAGAGACCAACTCAGCACTCACATTCTGGCCTGCCTAGGGCACATGAGGACCTCAGCAGTGCGTATTGAATTGCACAGTCTGTCCTACTGTTGGGCACTCGCTATACAAGAAGAGAGGTTTCCTGGAAAGTGCACTCAAGCCTGCCTCTGCTTATCTGGATTATTTCAATCCAACAGGTGGGACCTTACCTACCGAACTAATCAACGGTGTCCAGTGTCATTCAGAGACATGATGAGTCATCCCTGTGTGTCTCTTTTGGGTAAGTCTCAGTGTTTACAGACCACACCTGCTGGCATAAGGTGGGCCTTGCTGTTAGAATACCCATGGGTGGGGATATGACATGGTGAACAAAGTTGTTCAAGTTCTGGAAGCTTTTTGATTTCCATATATGCTAGAGTTTTTGAATGGTCTTTGCCCGGAGACAGTTCTTGCAAACCTGGAGACACAGCACAAGGGAGAGATGATATCCAATACAGAGAATTGGGAATCCAGGTGATCATTGGATGGAAGAGGAAGCTGAAGGCACCATTGAAACTAGGTCTCTTATGTTTACACCTTTTGGGGCATGTTTGCTTTGGCCCAGAACTGAACTGAACATCACAAGCCACCTGCTGTCTTCTGGCCTGAGGACATTCTGCTGCAGGTCCTTCTTTAGATGCTCATGGGAGTCCAGGTATTTGGGCACCAAGCTGCCAGGTGGGTCTTCTTTGGGTAGGCTTGCTACCTCTCCCCACCTCTACCCCACCCCAGGGAAGGACAGCATCTGTCCAGGGACACTGCTTGGCTGCATGTGCAGTCATATGAGTTGAAAGTTGATCTTTTAGGCTCAATAACTGCTTTTACTGGTAGGCAGACACCCTCAGGACATCCTAAGTCCAGTGTGACCAGAAGACAACCTAATTCTTCACCACTTTTTGTGACGTGGGTCAGTTTTTGTTTCTGTTGAAATAAACTCTCAATTTCTATTCTTTCAGATCAAAGTGAAATGATTATTTGGGGGTCTCTTAGCATTTCCAATTCCACACAGTAAATTTTAATAAGTTGGTTGGTTAAAACTTACATTGTGATCTAAAGCACTCAGCAGGAAGATTTGTTCACTGGCATGGGCTTAAGCATCATTTTTCAAATTATTCAGCAGTAGGTTAACACTAACATTATCACTGTCTATGTATTCTAGCAGCAAATATTAAACAGCTGTAGTATACATGGCACTTGGCTAGGTCCACTGTGGAATCTGCAGTTGACCTTGTCAGGGCCTTTTTTCGGTGGGAGTTGGAGATTAGTTTTCCTGTGTTGTATCTCTGCTTCCATTTCCCAGTCATAAGTAGGAGTGCACCTCATGAGATTGGGGTGTTCTTTTCTGCACTGAGTGAAAGTGCCTTCCATTCAAGGTCAGCATTAGTCTCTGTGTCCATTGGGTGCACTACAGTGATTTTCATGTTCTGTCTGAAATTGCTTTGACCTTGATCCTGGAAGATCCTTTCAGAAGGCAGTAGACACCTGTGTTTGTCACTTTGGTCACAGCATCCAGCTTTTTTTCCAAATTAGTTCCACCATTTTAAAGTAGAACAGTTGTATATCATGCACTCTAAGTGATCTGATTGTCTTCAGGATTGATGATGATTTTATTATTAATTACAATGGGGATCCATATGTATTATCTTTAAAAAATGATCTTCCTTAGTTTTTCCTGATGCTCTGTTACCTGATAACACTCGGTTAATTATTTGGCAATTAGCTTCATTTTGTGAAAGTAAGGCCCACATTTTTCCTCCTATTTTTATGAACACCTTCTAAATTGGCTCTCTGTGTCCCTGGGCTCTGTTACTGTGGGTGGTGATCACACAGCTACTGAGAGTTGAAGTGCTCTCAAGCCAAATCCCCTGGGTTATCTGGGACAGGAAGGGCCACTCCTGTTGCTACATGAAAAGGGATAATTAACAATTCATTTGGGGCTTGTGGCTCCAGGATTTTAACAGTTAATCATTCCAATTAAGTAAAATTCTTTGGTAGGATTCACTCAATTAAATGGAACACTTCAGGAGGATTTGTTCAATTAAACTTGGCTGGCTTGGAAGAACTGTGTGTGTGAGAGTGAAAGTGTGTGCATGTGTGCACATGAGAGAATGATTTGTGTATCTTGTTCAGTGAGGATCTGCAGTGGCATCTTAACAGGAAGACTGAAAGGCAGCCCCCAAACACCCATGCATACAATGAGGCTTCTCTTTTGCTCCCTACCAGCCTGTTGTATTATAGCCTGGTAGAATAGGGCTGCATATTTCTTTCTTCTCTGGTCTTGGGAGCTGGACATTAAACACGCCACTTAATGTGGACCCCTTAGTTTCCTTCTCTGTAAAATGGAGGTGACAATAGCCATAGCTGTGATCATTTAAATTAGGGGAAGGAAGACACACAGCTCCAAATACACATACTGAGTGCTGCATAAATGGAAGTTCACTGCATTTAACATTCCACTCCCCACACACATTGTTTAAGTTGCTCCACAATTTGCTGCAGACACTAGGGATTTGGGGGTGACCAAGAAAAGAAGGCCCTGTCCTATTGGAGCTGATATTTTTCCTGGGAAAAACAAGCAACTTCCTAGGAGAATTTTTAGGTAGTGAAGGTTTTCCAAGTAAACAGATGAGGCTGGAGACTGAAGAGGTTTTGAGGAGGTGACATTTGAGTTGAGGCCTGAATTATTAGAAGGAGCTCTCTGATAAGCTGTAGGGATGTAATTAATGGCAGGTTTAAAGGCCTTAAGGGCCACAGCCTTGACATATCTAGAAGTACATGAATGTCAGTATTCTGGATGGAGTGACTGACACTTGGGGGACAGGATATGTAATTGGTGGGCTGGGCCAGGACCTTGTAGGGGTGATAAGGCCTTGGGTCTGTGGTTTGAGGGCAGCATATATAACACAATGTCCCCCTTCCATTTCATTCAGCAGCCAGACATCAATATCAATTGGAAGCAAATTGTTAAAAACAATAAATTCAGGACCAGTTTATTTGTATGGGAAGCCACAATCAAATTAGACAGTGAACATATGCCAGGAGAAGTGCAATGGGCCAGAGGGGCTCTACCCCAGAGAGGAAGGGCTTGGATGCTGAGTACCTGAGGATGAATGTACACACACTGAGGAAACACCTGTGCCACGTGGCCAGTTAAAAATGGGAATAAGGCTTCCATGGATTTTAGTGCCAAATGAGGGCTTCTGCCTGCACCCATCCACTGTGCTGATAGTGTAGATAGTGCGTGGGAAGGAGCCTGGGAGATCTGTCTCTAGGCTTTCTGGTCATCCCCCTTCTCAGACTGCCCACACATCCTCTCAGCCCTTCGATCCTGTGCTTGCTTCACCTATGTGGGCATCCCAGGAAGTGCTGGTCTTCTGATCTGATCCCAAGGGCCACTCCCTATTGTCTCCTTGGCTTCAGCCCTTGTCTTCTTGCATGGTGAGCATTTTTCTCATCCAAAGATTATCAAAATCTTTTTAAAATCATGTTATTGTATTTGTATGCCCTTATTTTTGTATTTACTTTTAAAAATATTTTTTAGTTGTAGTTGGACAGAATTCCTTTATTTTATTTATTTATTTTTATGTGGTGCTGAGGATCAAACCCAGTGCCTCAAACATACTAGGCAAGCACTCCACCACTGAGCTACAGCACCAGCCCCACCAAAATCTCTTTTCTGATACCCATGAAATTCACCTTTGCTACTAAAAATGGAACCAGAAACAGAAAACAAACATTTTTAGACCTTGACTCTTCTCCTATGTGGCTGCAGATACACTGCAGTATAGGTGTGCTTGATCCTTTTTCTCTGAAAACACAAATATTTACTCAGTTGTCTACTCCCCTTTCTTTACCCTCTTTGGGTTTTCAATCAAGAGTTATTATGTCTGTGTGTATCTTCTATAAAGAATTCAAGCCAGGCACAGTGGCGCATGCCTGTAATCCCAGTGGCTCAGGAGGCTGAGGCAGGAAGATCATGAATTCAAAGCCAGCCTAAGCAAATTAGTGAGGTCCTGTCTCAAAATTTTAAAAAAGTGGTGGGAGGAGGACTGCTGGGGATGTTGCTGCTCAGTGGTTAAGTGCCCCTGGGTTCAATTCCTGATACAAAAAAAAAAAAAAAAGAATGTATGTATTTGTAATCTCTGCATGTCATCCTACATTGACTAACTGTTAATGTCGTATTTAAACTCTCCAGTTTTCTTCCTGCTGTGAGTTCTAGGACTCTTCAGTAGTATCTCCAGAGCTCATTCGCCTTCTCCCTATCCCCCCACCCCCACAAAATACCTTTTTTAATGATATTGGGTTATTTACACTCCTCCTTTGGTATACTATATTGTTTACATCCTTTTCCTCTTAACCCAATATTTATATTTAAAGTTCCTGTATTTATATTTAAAGTTCCTTGTAAATAGCACAGTCACATTTTGTTTTTTAATACAGTATAGCAATCTTCCTTTTGATTGAAATGTTTACTCCATTTATATTCAACCTAATTATCCATGTAATCAAGTTTAAGTTTGCTATCCTAGTATTTAATTCTCTTTGTCCCATATGTTCTTTTTCCTTTTTTTCTTTACTTTTCTTCTTTTGGATGATTTTTGGTATTGTATTTTATCTCCACTATCAGCTTGCTAGTATGCACAGGAGTCTCAGAGGATTTGTTAAAACACACAATCACATTTTACTTCTATATGTCATAAACCTCACGCTACCTTTTCACTGTTTTCAGTTGAAATGGTCAATTATTTTTTTAAACATTTATTTTTTAGGTGTAGATGGACACAACACAATGCCTTTATTTTTATGTGGTGCTAAGGATTGAATCCAGGTCCCACCTGTGCTAGGCGAGTGCTCTACTGCTGAGCCACAATCCCAGCCCCAATTATTTTTTTAAAGATTTAAAAATTAGGAAGGTAAAAGCATTGCTTATTTGCCCACACATGCGTACATTATTCCACATGTTTTTCATGTCTTTGGGTAAATTCAAGTTTCATCTATTTCATTTTCCTTATTTCTGAAAAACTTCCTTTTATATTTCTTATGGTACAGAGCTACTGGAGACAAATTCTCTCAGATTTTGCAAGACAATAATTTTATTTTTTCCTTCATTTTTGAAGGATAGTTTCCCTGAATATAATGTTCTAGGTTGCCAGATTTTCCCCCACTTTCAGCACTTAAAATGTTATTTAGTAGTTTTCGAGTTTGCACATTTTCCAAAAAGAAGTCACTCACTATTCTTATTTTTGTTCTTCTGTACAAAGTATCATTTGTTTCCTTTAAGATTTCTCTTTTTATCACTAGTTTTCAAAAACTTGACTATTATTATATAGCTTTCTTTCTGAGCTTCATTTTTAAAAATGAAAGGAGAAAAGGAAAGGAAAAAGAACAGATGGGACAAAGAGAAATAAATATTAGGACAACAAATTAAACTCGATTACATGGACAATTAGGTCAAATATAAATGGACTAAACATTTCAGTCAAAGGACAGAGTTTGTCCCCAGCAGGTTTTGATTGGACGTTGAACATTGTAAGGATTGAGTGTCTGGATTTTGAGAAATAACTACTTGTGGATCCGTTTGATCTCTTTGAAGCTGAGTTTTAAGCGTTTGTTGGATAGTCCAGCCTTACTACTGAGGCATGGTCCCTCTGTATTCACTACTGAATGTCCTAGTTGATCAGAGAGGATGCTGGTCAGTCAGACCTTGAACATCTCTCTACCTTTGCTTATTCCGGGAATTGTTCATCTTATACTTTCCTAGTTTTTCCTTTTGCAGCCCTTTGGAATTTCACTGTATGCCCGCATGCTTAGTATTTAGGAAAGACTCAAGGGAAGCCTTATGCAGATTTTTGAAGCTGTTTTCAGCATAGCACACTCCTTTCTGGAACTCTGCTCTACAACTTCCAGCTGCCTCTGCTACCCTGAATGCTGGCCTGTGTCTCTTCAACTTGGTGAAGCCACTAAGCTCTATTTAATTTTACCCTCCTTAAACTCTCAGTCTGGAAATTGCCTCCAGGCAGAGAGCTGAGTTACTGATGACTGGCCTCATTTGTTCTCTCTGGGATCATGATCCTGTGCTTCCTACTGTCCAATGTCTGAAAACTGTTGTTTCACATATATTTTCTCCCGTTTGCTATTTGTTCATGGCAGGATGTAAAATCTGTTCCTTGTTATTCCATCATGGCTATAAATGGAAGTTTCCATTCATTTCTTTTAATATAATACCTTCAGTTTTATGTAAAAGTCTTTCTGGAGTATTGGGGTTTTATAGTGCTTAAGCTAGTATCAAAATGCTTCCTTTCCAGAAAAACAGGAGACTAGTAAGGTAGAGGAAGTTGATTGAGGAAATGAGGAGGGGAGGGTAAAGGGATGTTAGGGAATGAAACTGATCAAATTATGTTATGCGCATGTACAAGTATTTGTCACATGAGTCCTTCTATTATATATAATTATTATGCACCAATAAAAAAGGAAATTTTAAGAATAATATTTGAGGTTTTTCAGAAGACACTGCACAGGTAAAATTGATGACACTTCCCTTGAGGGAGCCACCGAGTTAGGAGTCTTCTTGAGTTTTTGATTTTATTATTCATAGCTTAGGGCCTTCTGGCCCCTGGAACTAAAAACATGAGGTTATTGGAGTTGCACAGAAAATAATTACAGGCCCATCCATTTGTCGCTCATGGAGTTAAGATAAGTTTTCATTGTTCTTTCTTCTACTTTACTGAATAAATTTCTGTGAAATTTTTAAAAATGTGCTTCCTTTTCACTTCCATGAGTTGAACTGACATCAGAACACAAACTCTGCAACTCACTGAAGTGGGAGGCCTGTGGTACAGAGACATCTGTGCTAGGGTCTTATTTCACTTATTTTGCAGTTTGGAAGGAAAAGGTAACCTGTCTATGTTGTCTAGGTCTTTTATTTAGTAATCTGGTGTTTGAAGATCTTCTCTTTGGTCTTTCCAATTTTGTTCAGCTTTTCATTTGTTGAATATGTGAGAGAAATGTTCTCATTGTCTTTCACCCAGTGGAATCTTTCCATGTGTTGTGGCTTTGAAGAGCCTCACCACTGGTCAGAAAGCCTGGGTTCCTATTCTTTGTTGCCTCTCTTCCCTTCAGTCACCTGATCCAGTTTAGTGTTGCCTTCTACAAAGCTCCTACAGATGCCTCATCTCCTATCATTTCTGCTGGTATTCTGCATACTGTGAGAGAGGCCTGTGATTAGCTTGCCTCTGAAAGCTAGTCTCCCTGCCATTGGCTCTCTGTCACACTCTGTGGCTGTCGTGACTGTGCCCTAGCTGGCATTCATTTGCCTTATCTTAGCTCCCCCCATCCTGCCTGAGTTAATTCTTTGCCAGCCTACTTTGCCACTGAGGTATTTTCTAAGGCTTTCCCATTCTCTGGCTTATTGTTTGGCCAACATATGAGAAAAGATTCAACAATATTTAAAACCAGGGAACAGGAAATTACCAGTCTCATCCCAGGGGACCCAGAGACAGGGTTGTTGTTACTCATGGCTTTTTTCACTTTCCTTAGCTCCACCTGCTCCCCAAGGTCTTGCCCTTCCCCAGGACGGAGCCCCGGGAAACCAGGTCCTGGCAGTCCCTCTTGAGATGCCGGAGGCCCAGGTGAGCTGTGCTTCCCTCTACCTTGCTTGGGATTCCATCACTGTTCCCTGATTCTGGCCTCAGCCGCTGCCTCTTGCCCAGCATGACATACAGCAAAATGTGAACCCTGGTTGCTACCTTCCTTCCCACCCTCTGCTTCTCTCCTGAGGCTGCCAAGGAATGGAGGTCCACTAGGCTTGGAATTTCTGTCATATAGTTGGGAGAGCTGAGTTTCCATCTGGGAAAGTGAATAAATTGAGGTCCCTTGGGAAGACAGTGGGAGGCCAGGGTCACAGCCTAGGTTTCCTTGTGCTTGGCAATGTTCTCTTTCCAGGACTTCTCAGGGCTTGTTGTTGGATCTCCATGTTAGCAGCACACACACACTCCAGGCCCTCACCCCTTGCTTTTGGCATTATTGGTGCCACCCCTGCTTTGTTGCAGACTAGATGGAAAGACTAATCATCCCTTGAATTCTTTCAGGCTTTGGTACCATCTGATGATGTGTGGAACCTGACAAAAAGGGAATGGTTGAGCCTGGACCCTGAACAGAAGACACTGGCATATTATGGGAACATGACTTCTGTGGGTAAGGTTCCCTCTAGCCCTTCCCCACTTTCACCACCTGTTGGGAGTAGGGAGTGGGCACACAACCACACCCACACAAGCTTGCCTTGTCTCCAGGTTATAGGGAAATGTAAAGGGCCTGCTATATTTGAGATCTCCAGTGACACGAACTCCCCAATTCCTCATGACATGTAAAGAGCCCCCTTTAGTCTTTTATTGGAAAGAAATTAGAGCAAACCTGCTACTATAGTTTAGAATGTTTTTAACTCACAAATTATACAAATTACATGGCCATTTGATTGGAGTTTGCTGTTGAGAGGTCAAGCTCTTGTTTACCTCTCAGGGATGTGTATGTGTTGGGAGGAAGAGTGCTTAGAAAGAAAGACTGTTGGGGTTATGTTTGGGAGTTAGGAAGTCCCCAGATCTGGAAGAGCTCAAATTCAGTGGGTGGACACAGAGAGGGTAGAAAGTAGGGTAACGATCAGCCCTGAAAGGAGCTGGCCCTTGGGAACTCCATTTGATCTGCATAAATGACTTACCTAAGGTCACAACCAGCCCAGTTTTTGAGGATCCAGAAGAGTTTCTCTTCAAAGGCCTTCCCTTTTCTTCCATTCTGATGTCATCTGTGGCTACTTCTGTGACTCATTTCCTTCTCCATATCAGGAGTTCCTGCTTTGAACCCTACCTTGGTCTCGCACCTGGCCCAAGGACAAGTGCTGTTGGTATCAGACCCATCCCTCAGTACAGATCAAGCTAAGCACCTGGGTGAGTGAAAAAGAAACCTAGAGAAATATGAGGAAATTGGGGAGAGGCCCAGCTTAGCTATTGTGGGGCTCAAGTTGGGGTTGGAGGGTTCAGCTGAACTCATGAGGTCTAATGTTAGGTTTGGGAGCCCAGTTGAGGCTTTTAAGGGGTGTGGGTGGTGTCCTGTCAGGAGGAGAAGCCTCCCAGGAATCCCTTTGGTAGGCAATATCCAGCAGTCAGGGTCCCTTGATCCTTCCCTCCTGGCACAAGCTTCCTTTGGCTTTTAGTCCTTGTGCTCAGCAGCTATGTTGTGGGGGAATTGTTGACAGGAGAGAGTGGCCTCCTTCCTTGTGCACTCTATAGTCTGCAGTGTCTTCTATTTATCCTTTCAGAAAGCACTTCTATGACCCACCACCAGACAATGGATATAGAAGTCCAGCCTCAGGAGATGGCTTCCACGAGCTCCCTAAGGGCCAGTGACCCAAATGCTGAGGTCAAACAGAATGGGAACACTGACGGGAGGGAAGGGAACCTACAGAATCTGCCCATAGAACACCATTTTGCATGTAAAGAGTGTGGGGACACCTTTCGCCTTAAAGTGCTCCTTGTCCAGCACCAGAGGGTTCACAGTGAGGAGAAGGGCTGGGAGTGTGGCGATTGCAGGAAGGTCTTCAGGGGGGTGTCAGAGTTTAATGAGCACAGGAAGAGCCACACGGCCGCGGAGCCCAAGCCCGGCCCTAGTCAGGCCCTGGATGATGGCGTAGAGAAGAGGGAGCAAATGGAGAGGGAGGCGAAGCCCTTTGAGTGCGAGGAGTGCGGGAAAAGGTTCAAGAAGAATGCGGGTCTCAGTCAGCACCTGAGGGTGCACAGCAGAGAGAAGCCCTTCGACTGTGAGGAGTGCGGGCGGTCCTTCAAAGCCAACACCCATCTCTTCCGACATCAGAAGCTTCACACTTCAGAGAAGCCCTTCGCGTGCAAGTCGTGCAGCAGAGATTTCCTGGATCGCCAGGAACTGCTCAAGCACCAGCGGATACACACGGGCCACCTGCCCTTCGACTGCGACGACTGTGGAAAGTCCTTCCGTGGAGTCAATGGCCTGGCAGAACACCAGCGCATCCACAGCGGTGCCAAGCCGTACGGGTGTCCGCACTGCGGCAAGCTCTTCCGGCGTAGTTCGGAACTCACCAAGCACCGGCGGATCCACACTGGTGAGAAGCCCTACGAGTGCGGCCAGTGCGGCAAGGCCTTCCGTCAGAGCTCCAGCCTGCTGGAGCACGCGCGTATCCACAGCGGCGAGCGGCCTTACGCCTGTGGCGAGTGCGGCAAGGCGTTCCGCGGACCCTCCGACCTCATCAAGCACCGGCGCATCCACAGCGGACTGAAACCCTATGAGTGCGACAAGTGTGGCAAGGCCTTCCGCAGGAGCTCTGGCCTGAGTCGCCACCGGCGGATCCACAGTGGGGCGAGACGCTGCGAGTGCAGCGAGTGTGGCCGCGTGTTCAAGAGGCGCTCAGCGCTGCAGAAGCATCAGCCCACCCACCGCGAGTAAACGGGCCATTTGCCCCCCCCCCCGCTGCTGGTGGGCAAGAGGGGTCCTAAGAGGCCGTTGGTGGAGTCAAAGGAGATGAACAGTTTTGTAGCGCTTATCTATTTTATCGTCCAAAAGGTTGAACCAGTTTATACTGCCACCAGCAATTTCTTAAGTGTACACATTTCTCATTATGCCCATTGAGAGTAGCTTTTACCATTTTAACTTAGTTTGGGTAGTTTACCTGGCAGAAAGTACCGTCAAGAGATTTTGACCATCATGCCTTGAATGAGAAGAGAAATTTGGATGTGGGGGTGGGGAGGGGCCTGGTGGCTCATCTGCTCCAAGCCCCACCTCTGAAGGAAACAAATGCAGAGATGTTCAATGATGACATCAAGATAATGTGACCCCACCTCTCCCAAAGAGTTTTTTGGCCTACTTGAATTTATAAATTTTTAGGGATGTAAATAGAATACTCAAGTGTCTTATAATATTTAATTTATTAATTTAGTTACACATACATATTGTAAATCACATATTATATAGAATAATATATTAATTTAGAAAACACTCCCTTTTGCCATGCTCCATTTCAAGAAATCATTTTATTCTAACTCCTCATATACATTTTCAACCTCATAGTCTTCACCAACATGGGAACCCCCTTGAGTCTCAGACCATATCCAGTCACTCCATCTAATAATCTATGCGTGGTAGCACTGTGACAATCCCTGCATGAGGTTCTCATCAGAAACTTCCTCCCAAGCCATAAGAACATATTTATGTAACGTTAGGACAATTGTTTTGTGTGTTTCTTAGTTAGTCCTATAGCTCCACAACATAGGTACTTAAGGTGGTGCTTTTTCAAATGGCCTTACAAAAGGCTGGAGGGTTTTTGTTTTGTTTTCTTAGAGCACCTGAAGCATCATCCTGAGGTCATACTCCCAGTAAAGATTACTGAATGTGGGTTAAAGGTTCTTTGCCTCCTTGTTTCTTAAACCAGTTCAACCTGATGACCCTTGTGTATATCCAAAACAAGCATCAATTGGATTGTTTCAGCCTAATGGCTCTTGTTCTCAAGCAGCACTATTTTATTTGAAATAAAGTAGGCGAGAGAGCAGCCCCAAATAAGAGACACATCTCCAGGACTCAAGGGTGAGGTGACACTTTCCCACTGAGAACAAAAGCCTCTCTCCTGGTATGGGGCCTAGATGGTACTTCACCATCCCTCTATTTGCAAATCTGTAAAATGGGAGGAAATCACAGTACCTACCTCCTAAGATTATCAAGAGGACTGCCATCATGCCTGCAGAGCACTGCATGTGATGGCCTGGCACAGAGGTCCGCATTCAGTGAAGATGATCTGCTGACATCGTACTTCTTGTTATCATTTTACAGCTCATTAGTACTAGAACTGGGAATGGACCCAGGCCTCCTGACTACTAGCCTCATCTTTCTTTCCTTCAATGACTTAAATACTGATTCTTTTTTCCTGAATGCAAATTGTACGTTCATCTCCTTTGACTAGTTATCAAGTTACCTTTGAATATATTGACTTTATATAGCAATTCTTTCTGTATTGATTGTGGTGTTCTCTTGTATTTCTTTGCCCTTTGTAGCAATTCTTTTACATTTTTTGTTGTGCGGGCTTTTGATTTTTACATATTCCAACACTTGTTTTTGTCTGTTAAGTCATAACTTTCATTGCTTCAGTATTTAGCTATGACGACATTTTCTTCTAGAATTTTAATCACAAATGAAAAGTTGAAACCTCTGCCCATCAGAAGGTAGATGCACCAGGTGGGCAAACTGGATGGGAAAGGGCCAGAGAAGCATGCCTATTCCTATCCAAGATGCAGACTCTGTGTATATCTGTGGGCAGCATTTGACTATCCAACCTGACCACTGAGGCACACTAGAGATATGTCTGTCATGGAATGCCCAGAGCACTCTGTGACAACACATCAGTATAGCCCCAGCCACCAGCAGCAGGGCTTGGCCTCACCTAGACCAACAGGATGGTCCAAAATTGGTCTGGCAGCAGCCAGCCATCATTCAAGTTCCCGGGAGCGTTGACAATGCCGGGTTTGGATTTGGTGACTGAGCAGCAGATCCACTCGAGACATCTCCTCAGACACAAGAAGACTCACTTGACTGACATCATCATATGGACCACAGCTTCCTCCCAGCAAGTGACTCTGGAATGAGAAAGAGATTGGTTTGGTGGCCACTGCTTTGGGCAACTAAGGAGAAATTTGCCCATGTGTTCTAGCACTACTTCTGCAGCCATATTGAAGAGGTCAACAAAGCCAAGGCTCAGAGAGGAACTGCCCTCCAGTGGCCTGTATCGTGCTGCTAGAAGCTGGCTATATGAAGCCTGGACTAGGAATTGCAGTAGCTGTGCCTGAGGGGGGCAATAAAGCAAGGGTTCAGAGGACAACAAGGCCCTTCTGATGGTCCATGTGGCATCCAAACAGGAGCTGGTCATCCTGGGGCTGCACTGTCACTCTGCAGCCTCCTCTAAGAGGAACAGCAGTAAGGAGTAGTGAGGTAGCTGGCCACACCAGCGCTGTGGCCTGAAACTTCCCAGCAGCTGTGCCCGGGGGGCACTGAAGGGCCTGGAGAGGAAGTGTGCTTTTATGGCACCAAGGGGAGGCAGAGCTCCCCAACAGGCACAGCCTGGAAGGGCTTTCCAGGCCCCAACCTGGGAAGCAAGGTTTAAGAGCAACCCCCATGACCTTGGCCAGAAGGTCCTCTCAGAGGCCACCACTGTGGCCCTAGGCAACCTCTCCATCCTGAGCCCCAGGCTGGAGAGAAGCCAACAGCACTTGTTACATAGCAGCTCCTTTTGCTCTGTGGGCTCAGTTCTTGCAGTAGTTTTGAATCTGTCTGAAATCACTACTTTCTCTGATCAGTTTTCTCTTTTTGAGCTGTTAGGATGTGTTTTGTATAGCTGTCGTTGGGTAAGGAATGTTGACATCAACCAGGGGCAAGTCTGGCACCTTTACCTTGAAGGACTCTGCCATTTCTTGACCATTCATTCATCATTTATCAGGTTTGATGAAGGATCCTGTTGAAGTCTAGATTACCATTGGCTCTGAATGTAGCATAGTGGTCACTGCTCCCAGCCAGGACATGGCATCTTGGCATTCCTTCCTGCCCTCCTTTACTTTTTTTTTTTTTTTTTTAGTTTCAGTTTTATAATTTTCTGTCAGACAAATCCTCTTTAAGAATTAACACTAAAGGTTGTGTCTTTTCCATCCCTGTTGATGAAGCGGCTTTTCATGATGTTGGCGGTAAAATCCCAGCTGTATCCAAACACAATCAGTCTGTGGCTTTAACGTGTGTCTGTAGTTTGGCTGAGTTCATCTTCTGCCTCCGGGAACATGAGGGTGGATTTTCTTGGATTCTCTAGGTATACTGCTATGTCCAATGCAAATGTGAGCAAGCTTCCTGTGGTATGTGCTTGTCTATGCATTCGTGTATCTACCTCATTCCATTTTCCTTTCTAATCACATGTATTCCTAATGCAAGGTAAATGGAGAGCTGTTGGGTTACATGGAATTCTGGATCACAGTAAAAGTACCCTTTTCTTGCCATACTAACAAAGAAACCCTCCATTAATTTTATTAGAGTTTGGCTACTTGCTGAAGTTTTCAAAAGAAAGCAATCATTTACCATTTTCCTGCATATTATGATTCACTGTCAATTAGTTGTATCATACCCACACTTGCATTTCTGGAATAATCCCCACCTGATTGCAGTGGGCCTCTTTCTTCTTCGGTTGTATTGCATTCTCTGTGCTTTGTTTTGTGCTTGAAATGGCATGGCACCTGCCCTGGGCCTGACCCTGTTGTGTACCATGTGACCCACCACCCCCCTTCTAGGCCACATTAATTAAAGCAGAACCAAACACCTGATGCAAGGTCAGCAGCCAGTCGTTAGAGCCAGCTGGAGATGATAGAGTGAGCTTTTCAGGTCTGTGAAGTATAAACAAGGAAACTGAAGTTTCTATTTGGTGTTGGAAGCCATGTGGTATTTAGAGGTGTTGCCCCTGTGGGTGACACTGAGATGAAGATTACTGGGCTCCCCAGAGCTGTTCAATACCAGCACCACAAGGCAGGCCTGACTGCACTGTTTCCTGGATCACTGGCTACTGCCCTCGTCAGTCCATGCTGTGTCCCCAGCCTAGATTTGAGCCAGCTTGAGTGGGTCTCTTCTTTGTGCAACTTGTCAATATCCAATTGCATTTGACCATTTGGCTACTTCTTGAGAAGAATCAATATTGGCTTTCCTCTCATTCTACCCAGCCAGCATTCCTGGCCCAAGTCCCACCTTGACTGTTGTGAATACCTATTTAAATGTGGTACTGTATTCTGTTTGCTAAGATGGGTGAAAACCTATGCCTTCTCCTCTCAGTGAGTATAATCATTGGTTTTCTGAGTATTCTTCCTTTCCTGAACTGTGTTTGGTCCATAAAATAAGTTCATCACAGCCCACTGTGTTTCCAGCAAATCCATCGTATTGGGAGGGGGGGGGTGATTACTCCTGTTACTAGATACCTGTATTCTATAGTTCTCATTGCATCAGTTTGGGTGTTTACTTTCAAAAACAGACATGGTCTCTTTAAACTTGACCCTCAATTTACTTGCATACTCTGTTAACAGTAGTTGTGTCCTGTCCCAGTTCATCTTTTGGTTGTTGCCACTCTCTTCTTACTTCTCCCCACTCTCATGACCTTGTCTGTTTTATGGCACTCACTATAATCGGCCTTGCACTAGAGCTGTTTGTGAACTTGGCTTTTCCTCTCCCCTCCTCAACCCTCCCCTGCCCATTAGATTGTGAGCTCTTAGAAAAGACAGGGGTGGCCCTTCATGTCTGATCCCCTACCAAATCTAGCACAGTGCCTTGCATCAAGTAGACATCAATAAATAAATGTTAAATGGCATTGGTCTTCCTTGACTTATTTTATCAAAGCTTTATTTATCAATTCTTCCCTTTCTCCTATTTTCACACCATGG